AGTTCTCTTTTAGTAGAAAATTTGTTTTTATATTATTTTTTTCTGATTTTTCACTGCTATTCCTAAGTTTTCTTATCCCTGTTTTTAAAACACATTAGTTCGCCTCTGTAATATGTATCAATCATTTTATTATTGACTGTAAATACAAAGTTAGCATGAGATTGAATTGAAAAGACTATGAATCCCCTGTACTCGGTGCTAAAGACCGTTTTAAAAAAAAGCCCCCAGAGATTTCTTATATATCGTAATACTGCAAGGTTATTGTGAATTATTTTCAGTACAGAAAATTAATATTAAATCGAAAAAGAAAACTTAAATTTGCCAGAGGGAGTTGAAACCTGAGTTTCTTTATAATTTATAAATAAACGGCCTATTTAAAATTATTGATTGGTGGTTGCAGAGAAATTCATGTCAATAAAGCAGATAAATTGTATGGCGAATAGCTGCGAATAGTTGTTTACTGTACGGGTATTAGAATAGGTAATTTTTGCGATCATTGTTTCTTTGCTTCAAGAGTACCTAAATCCGATGGTGATGCTACACAGTTGTGACTCTAACATAAATGAATGTACAATAGTTAAATGACGTGTTTTCTGTTTGCTTTCATATAGTGGATATAAAATAATGCATATTTGCGTTATGTACAATATATATTATATGTTGCGCATGCACAGTCATATCCAACTAGCTGAGCACGTCGGTAATTATTCTAAATATCAGCACAACAATGTTAAATCTGCAAATTTGCGGAAGCAAATTTGTGTTCTTCCCTCGCCGGTATTCGAACTCATGCTATTGGGATATCGAGACAATACCACCTGCACTGTGTCCAGCGCTCTAGACCACTCGGCCACCTAGACTGAACTAAAAATTCAGCTTTCGGTGGCCTAGTGTTACCTTTCCTCGTCAGTAGAATCTAGAATTGTAACACAGTACACGATATATTAGGCATGAAGATGGAATTGATTGCAAATTAGTTAGATTATATATATATAATAATATTTTTCACTTTTTGGTCTTTTGGAAAACGTTGTTTGTGCTGTATTTTGACCCCTCTAACAAGAAATTTGTTTTGCATGCACAAGTATAAAAACGCAATCATAGGTTTGAACGTTGTTTTCAATTTAGACTTGTTTATATTTTTTCGTTTGGGCTTGTATTATATTTGCCTTCGGGTTTATATGATCCGTTCATCCTATTTTGACTCCTCAAATTTCAAGATTCTATCCTAAATTGAGGTAAATTATAGGGCCTTCCAAATACCGTTTCGATTCCTAACATCACTGAAGAGACATTAATTGTCGAAATCCAGATACGGTGTACAAACATCTTTGCACCTTTGTTTGCGGTATACCATCTTTGCCGCAGGGTTGTTGTTTTCTGTTTGATATTAAATTTATAATTAAGATTCATTTATTACACCTTGTTATCCATTTATTTGGCAATCGCCAATGGCAGTCAGCAGTGATTAAGAACATTTGTTGTTCAACCTGTTAGTCAAATGTGTTTTGTTAAAATATACTTTTCACTTTTTGGTCTTTTTGAAAATGTTGTTTGTGCTGTATTTAGACCCCTCTAACAAGAAATTTTGTTTTGCATCCACACGTATAAAAATTGCGATTTTTATCAAACGCAATCATAGGTTTGAACGTTGTTTTCAATTTAGACTTGTTTATATTTTTTCGTTTGGGCTTGTATTATATTTGCCTTCGGGTTTATATGATCTGTTCATCCTATTTTGACTCCTCAAAATTCAAGAGTCTATCCTAAATTGAGGTAAATTATATGGCCTTCCAAATACCGTTTTGATTCCTAACATCACTGAAGAGACATTTTTGTCGAAATCCGGATATGGTGTACAAAAATCTTTGCACCTTTTGTTTGCGGTATACCATCTTTGCGGCAAGTTTATTGTTTTCTGTTCCGTATTAATTTATAAATAAGATCCATTTATTACACCTATGATTGCGTTGGATAGAAATCGCAATTTATATACGTGTGCATGCAAAACAAATTTCTTGTTAGAGGGGTCTAAATACAGCACAAACAACAATTTCCAAAGGACCAAAAAAGTGAAAAAGTATATTTTAACAAAACGCATTTGACTAACAGGTTGAACAACAAATGTTCTTAAACCCTGTCGACTGCCATTGGCGATTGCCAAATAAACGGATCACCAGGTGTAATAAATGGATCATATTTATAAATTAATACCAAACAGAAAACAATAAACTTGCGGCAAAAATGGTATACCGCAAATAAAAGGTGCAAAGATTTTCGTACACCATATCCGAATTTCGACAATTAATGTCACTTCAGTGATGTTAGGAATCGAAACGGTATTTGGAAGGCCATATAATTTACCTCAATTTAGGATAGACTCTTGAATTTGGAGGAGTCAAAATAGGATGAACGGATCATATAAACCCGAAGGCAAATATAATACAAGCCCAAACGAAAAAATATAAACAAGTCTAAATTGAAAACAACGTTCAAACCTGTGATTGCGTTGGATAAAAATCGCAATTTTTATACGTGTGCATGCAAAACAAATTTCTTGTTAGAGGGGTCTAAATACAGCACAAACAACATTTTCCAAAAGACCAAAAAAGTGAAAAAGTATATTTTAACAAAACGCATTTGACTAACAGGTCGAACAACTAATGTTCTTAAACCCTGCCGACTGCCATTGGCGATTGCCAAATAAACGGATCACCAGGTGTAATAAATGGATCTAATTTATAAATTAATACAAAACAGAAAACAATAAACTTGCGGCAAAGATGGTATACCGCAAACAAAAGGTGAAAAGATTTTTGTACACCATATCCGGATTTCGACAATTAATGTCTCTTCAGTGATGTTAGGAATCGAAACGGTATTTGGAAGGCCATATAATTTACCTCAATTTAGGATAGACTCTTGAATTTTGAGGAGTCAAAATAGGATGAACGGATCATATAAACCCGAAGGCAAATATAATACAAGCTCAAACGAAAAAATATAAACAAGTCTAAATTGAAAACAACGTTCAAACCTATGATTGCGTTGGATAAAAATCGCAATTTTTATACGTGTGCATGCAAAACAAATTTCTTGTTAGAGGGGTCTAAATACAGCACAAACAACATTTTCCAAAAGACCAAAAAAGTGAAAAAGTATATTTTAACAAAACGTATTTGACTAACTGGTCGAACAACAAATGTTCTTAAACCCTGCCGACTGCCATTGGCGATTGCCAAATAAACGGATCACCAGGTGTAATAAATGGATCATATTTATAAATTAATACCAAACAATAAACTTGCGGCAAAGATGGTATACCGCAAACAAAAGGTGCAAAGGTTTTCGTACACCATATCCGGATTTCGACAATTAATGTCTCTTCAGTGATGTTAGGAATCGAAACGGTATTTAGAAGGCCATATAATTTACCTCAATTTAGGATAGACTATTGAATTTTGAGGAGTCAAAATAGGATGAACGGATCATATAAACCCGAAGGCAAATATAATACAAGCCCAAACGAAAAAATATAAACAAGTCTAAATTTAGAACAACGTTCAAACCTATGATTGCGTTGGATAAAAATCGCAATTTTTATACGTGTGCATGCAAAACAAATTTCTTGTTAAAGGGGTCTAAATACAGCACAAACAACATTTTCCAAAAGACCAAAAAAGTGAAAAAGTATATTTTAACAAAACGCATTTGACTAACAGGTCGAACAACAAATGTTCTTAAACCCTGTCGACTATATATAACAAGTCTAAAAGGGTACAACATCACCAAAAAATAATTAAATCATGAACAAATTTTAGATATTTCGGATAACTAATATCCTTCATCAGTAAGATGTTCAATGAATCTTATCTTGACATGTGGTACCCAGCAAACACAAAAACATCTTTAAAATGTTATTAGAATGTTGTGTCTAATGTCATGAAAATATCACAAATGAACGTGAGAAAAACATAAAATGTATGGTAGAATATATATCGCTAAAACGTTTTCCAATATATTTTCTAAAATATTTGCATAACATAATTAAAATGTTGTCAAGAAATATCATGATAATGTGAAAACCAATGGCAAATAAAACATTTTGATAGTCTTTTAAAAAATATTTTCTGGAAATATTTTCTGAACGTTTGAAAAACATCATGAACATCAAATAATGTTATAAAAATGTTTTTGGAATGTTTTCTTTCAAGTGATACTGTGCCTAAAAAATGTTTTCAAAATGTTTTTGGTTGATATCTAGATCATATCAATTTAAAAATTTCTGTACTTTTGATTGAGTTTCCTGCTTTTTTAAATAACAAATTATTAGTTTAATTTATACACAGCGATTCATTCTATATACAAACAAGAATAAAGCAGTTGTTTTGCTATTAAGCATATGAAAATTCACAATTCAAGGTATCTAAAACCAAGAAGTATCTACAAATTTTGACACATCCAAAATGGCAGACACAACTCATCATGGTCAAGCCACTTACCAAATATGAAGTCATTCTGTTCAGCAGTATTACTTATAAAAGTAATGAAAAATTTGAGAACATTCAACATTTTGAAATACAATGAATAAGCAAACAGGAAACAGGTGCCAGATACAAAAACGTTCACACATCACAGTTCATCACTATCAAGCAGCTCATCAAATATGAACTCATCTTGATCAGCAGTTTTGGGAAAAACAGTAATGGAAATATTTGTTGGACAAAATCCGTCAAATATAGGTGGATAGACAACAGACAGTGCAAGAAACCCCACATTCATACCACAATGGTATAATGTTTAGTTTTTCACTCTCAAATTTTATTACCTATCTTATACACATCATGCATATGTCAACCTGAACATGCATGACATATTTGCCATTGGACATTATGCAAACATTATACACATTTTTAAGTTGAAGTTACAATGATTAAAACTTGTGTCCCAAATTCAGATTTTTCAATATAACTTCTCTTTCTAAACTAAAACTTTACACTTCTGATAGGGTTACATCTTAAGTCAATAATCATTGATAATTGGCTTAAGAGATGAGATCAAAACACCATTTTACATCAACTATTTGATTTATTTAAGAATACATTGAAAAAGTCAATCAATTGACTTATTCAAAATCACTTGGAATGTCTTGTAGTGTCTTATATCTTTTTCTTGCTGTGCCATGCTTCTGAAAGAAAAAAAAATATAATCTTACATTCATATATAAACTTCTTGCACATTCCTTTATTAGAGAAAAATTCACGTTGCCTGAAGGATAAACATCCCCTCCCCTTTAAAGTTTTGAAAAAAATAACGATGGTAGTCTGTCGGAAGGGGACGATAAATGGCTCTGTAGAGTGACATAGTTTATAATTTGTCATTTGTATCTAAGGGCATACGATACAGTCCTAGAAGTATACTATAGGCACATAATAACTTATCGAAATGTTACGCATTGTTTACGCAATGATGATAATAATATAACTTAACTTCCAAGAAACACACAGATGTCATTGAATGAGTTGTTGATATGTATTTGAAATACTTCAAAGGAAAGCAAATATGTTGTTTATGAAAGCGCACTGTTGGACTTAAAGATTGATTTAGATAAACAACTTGTTTTTATTGTCACAAACAGAATAATTTATTCAAATATCCGGATATCTTTACTGTATTGTATGCCCTTAATCTTGAATGTAATGTATTGTTTATGCTAAATATTTGAATTAAATATTGAATAACAGTAATTTTGTATGAAAATCTTACTCGAAAAAAAATTTTCTCCTGAAAGGTTGTAGACATTCCAAAGAACCTGCATCACTTCCAAATTGTAAACCTGCATATTGAACTTGTCCTTTGTTTCTTTTCTTTTAGCTCCTGTTAAAAAATAAAAGATACATTGTATGGACATTGTTTGTATGAACCAATAAATATAATTTTAAGCAACAGTTTATATTATCTTGCTTGTACTGAAGTCTTACATAGTCTTTGTAATGTGCATTAAGCTGTTAAGGGAAATTAAATTTAATGTTTTGCAAATACATACATACACTGATTTTACTAGAAAAAAAATCTCCATATTCACATGGTGCTTATAGTAGTGTAACTTGTGTGTGTGCCTCGGCACAAGGTATTGAGTCATGCTTATTTCAATAGTTGTTGTTGGTTTAAGCTTGTCATATTTGTTTTTCATAATGTGTATTTAATGTAGGCGGTTAGTTGTTTTGTTTCAATTGTGTTGAGAAAAATTTAATATTTGTTTGTCAAGGCCTTTTAAAGTGGACTATATGGTATGGGTTTTTCTCAGTGTTGAAAGCCGTACAGTGACCTATAATTTGTTATCCAAGTCATTTGAATTCTGGTGGATAGCTGTCTCATACACATAGCTATTTCAGTATTTGGAATTCCAGGAAATCTGTCCCGCTTGAACTTTTTACGTAAACATACGTCATACAATAACACACCTTATCGCTATTCCCGCTTGACCCGAGAATCTGTCCTGCTTGAACTTTTGACGTCAAACAACAATCACTTTTACATTGTGGCATCAGATATTTTTTATTATGACGTCAAAATTTTACGGGAACTTGTGACAGTTGTGTGATGTCCAGTATTGAATGGCGGACAAATAGCGATAAGGTGTATTACTTTCCATTGTGGTGTCAAATATTTTCTATTATGACGTCAATATTTTAGAGGAACTTTTGTGATGTCCAGTAATGGATGACAAATAGCCATAAGGTGTATTGGCAATCAAACACACAAGCCACATATGTCATATCCTTAGTTTTATATCAATGAACAAATTCATAATTGGTGTGCGTAGATGCTAGAACAGTGGCGGATTAAGGGGCCCCGACCCCTTATGGAGCTACATATAAGATAAATGCATAGACGATTTACAAGTATCACTCCAAACTTTTGCTTGCCTTGGGCAGGGGCCCCCTTTTTTCAAAACCTTGATCCGCACCTCTAGAAACAGATGTATTGGTTCCGATTATGATTGAACACACAAAATGAATGCACAAGTTTCATCTTAAGTGATTAATCATTCTTACCAAGTGAGTATATATCGCGTAACAAACAATTTTCTTGGCTCTCTTTGTTGATATGGATCTGTCTTCGTTTCAAATTCAAATTTCAATATCATTTCCGGTGAGAAAACAAAAGTCGATTCCGGAAAAGGTCGGTTTTCCGTTATGCATACAAACGATACGAAAATACAGTTACAGTTTTCATTTCTTAATTTCTAATATATACACGAACGATATGAATAAACATTAAATAAAGGTGATTGTTTATTAATACATTATTGCTTAATTTAATGTTGACTCTTTTGAATTTTGATTTAAGAAGGAATAAAATCTGACTTCAAGATATAAAGGATTTCAACGGTATAGTATCTTGCTTGTCATGATATTGATGAAATGTAGTACTATATCTTATCCTGAAAAAAAACGAGCTAATTCCACAAAACGTTGTTTGTGGGGTTTTGAATAAAGTTTAAATAAAATGTTATTTTTATATCCGTAAAATGTTGAATAAAATATCAGTAAGACTATAAAAATAATGTGTATGTCAAAATATTTTATAGAAAACATTTAGCTGATATTTTTCAGATGTTTTATGTAAAACATTTTAATTTTACGTTATAAATCATTTTATGCAAATAGCAAAACTGTATTTTCTGTAAAACATTTTTTGCCGAATGTTTTTTGGATATTTGGAAAATATTTACTTTAAATGTTGTAACAATATAGGAAATACCAATAGAAGAAAATATTATTTTTTCATATTATAAAATATCTACGGGATATTTTAGAACAATGTTTGAGAACATGAATAAAAGATATTAGCAAATAATATTTTTTTTTAATGTTGTAAAAACATTTGACTTAAATGTTAGAAATAAAACATTTAAAAAACAATAAAATAAACATTTTTCTGATGTTTAGTTGATATCTTATTGAAATATTTTGTGAGAGACCTCCATATGACATTTAAAAAATGTTTTTAAAATGTTGTGTGTTTGCTGGGTATTCAAACTGAAATAAAAATCTTGAATGCTATACAAATTATCAATAATCAATACGCTGGTAATTTTTTTTCAATATTGATGTTTGGGAGGAGGAATAAATTTCTAAAAACTTGTTCATGATTTAAATATTTTTTGGTGATGTTGTACCCTTTTAGACTTGTTATATATTATATTTTGTAGTGTACTGTATCATAATTTTATGATCCATCGCCCAGTAAGATTCATCGTTGGCTATTATTCAGTCATTTAATATATATATATATATATATATATATTCAAGTCTAAATTGAAAACAACGTTCAAACCTATGATCGAAACGGTATTTGGAAGGCCATATAATTTACCTCAATTCAGGATAGACTCTTGAATTTTGAAGAGTCGAAATATTAGAAATAGGATGAACGGATCATATAAACCCGAAGGAAAATATAATACAAGCCCAAACGAATATATATATATATATATATATATATATATATATGTGTGTAATAAATCCATTGACAATATGGAAATAAACTGAATGCTTATAACGAATTATAAAGCAATTTTCGGTTCCATATAGAAGTTTGAATAAAAAATACCTTTAAAAAGTTTTTGTGAACTTGTACATGTTGTACTGTCGAAGTTGAAGCTAATGCTGCTTAATGTAAATTATTTTGTCTATGTTTTAGTCAAAATAAAGACGATACAAGGCAAGACAAGACAAGGACGAACAGCGCATGTGTATGATATAGACACGAAAGATATTGACTCTTTAGAAAAAGTGCAAATTGGATAATTCTGAGGCAATTTACGAACTGTTTTGTCATTTGAAGTGTATCAGGACCCTATATATTCACATAGAGCTGAAGATTTTGTCTAAAATTGTGTTTTTGACAGTGGTCAATCAGTGGTCAATCAAGTGTCATAATTTAGGACGATGGATAAAATGGACAACAACAAGGTAAATACTAATCAAATAGACCTTACTCATACAAACAGTTGTAATGACAATACACAATCAACCGGTACACCTACAACAAGAAAACGTTCAAATCCCGAATCTGATATGTCTGAGAATAAAAAACTTAAATCTGTGGACAGTGGAAATGGTTTGAACATGCAAATACCAAAGATGGGTGAATCAGGGTTGTTTCTATTCTCCGCTATGCAAAACCTGGCCACTAACATTACTCTAAGTTTTAATATGTTGAACGAAAAAATGAGTCAGTTAGAATCAAACTCAGAAGAAAAAATCTCGACAAAAATACAAACGGCGTTAGAAACTAAAGTGAAGGCCGAGGTTGATATGATAAAACAAGACATTCGAGGCGATATGGAAGTTATGAACGCAAAAATTGACACTGTCCAAAAAACATACGATACTATAATGAAAACGAAAGAAGCCGAACAAACAACTTCTAATATCAATTCAAAAAATAAGTTCGTGATAAAAAATATAGACTGTGATGCCCAAGAAGAAGAAAATAATCAGGTTACTATAAACAAAGTACAATCTCTCTTCAAAGATGGGCTTGGTATCACCGACGTGAAAATCAAGTCAGCTGAAAGAAAAACGGGAAAGGGAAACTCATGTGGGATAATTTTGGTAGAAATAGATAATGATTCTGATCAAAAGAAAAACATTTTCAGTAATAAGCGGCAATTGAAAAATAGTAACAACTACAAAAATGTGTACATAGACAACGATTGGCCAATCGAAACACGTATTTACCAAAGCAACATGAGAACACTCTTAAAAGAAGTTGGGAAAGAACGTGAAATGTTTTTTTATCGGCAACAAGTTAGTGCACAGACGTCATTAGGACAGGTTGCAGTTATGTGTATGGAACTATCGCGGTTAGTCAATGCACAAGAACGATAATTCGACTTTTAGAAATTTAGTATAAGAACATGTTAATTGTGACATATTTGCAGTTTGTGAAACATTTTGACGTGATGATAATCAGCTTAACGTACCCGGTTATAAGTGGATAGGACATAATCGGGAAAATGTACATAGTAACGCTAGGCGTGGATCTGGCTGGGTTGGTGCCTTCATTCGTTTAAATTCCTATATGATTCTTTTTATGTTGAAATTAAAGATCGGAGTGTAGAAGGTATTCTATGGATTTGTTTTAAAGGGAAACATTCCGATTTTAACTTTTCCGTTGCCGTATGCTATTTACCACCGACCGATTCAAGTAGACCCAGTGATCAAGAAAGATTTTTAAATGACTTATTGCGACAAGTGTATAGTAATCAGACGAAAGGATATACGATCATATGTGGTGATTTTAACGCCCGGTGTGGATCAAATACAGACTACATTGAAGGTGTTGATGATATAAAGCCACGTACAACTATTGACACTACAGAAAATTACAACGGTGATCTATTTTGTGAATTTTTATCACACACAAATTTTGCCATGTTAAACGGTCGAATAGGAATAAACGATTTTACATATATTTCCCCTCGAGGGAGATCGGTGGTTGAATACATTTGTGTGCCATATGAGCAGTTAGAATCCGTTTTAGATTTTAAAATAATGAGAATGTCAGATGTAATAAATACTTTGAATTATAACCCAGAAAGCATACCTGACCACTCGCTTTTATCTTGTGATATTAAATATCCAGTGAATGTTGATGAAATTTCAAATCATTATGCAAACGAAGTTAAGATTTAACGTAATGCGCGTAAGATTCCAGATGATTTCCTAATTAGCGATGAAGTGCGACATAAAGTTCTGGATACTATTGAGAAAATTGAACACTCCGTATATTTAGATCAAAATGTACAAAACGCATATGACGAATTTCATAAACTGATAATGAACGAAATGGAGACAAAACTACTGCTTCTTCAGCAGAAAAATATAAACAAACGTTCGAAGTCCTTTTACAAGCCGTACTGGAACCACACATTACAAACGCAATGGAATTTATCATGCGAGTGCGAAAAGATATGGTTGAAATTTAAGGGCCCACCGCACAAAAAAGAAACTTTTAAAAGAGAATTATTGTACTGAAAGGAATATATTTGATAAAATTAACCGTAAATTCAAAAGAAAATACCAAATTCTAAAGGAAAATGAACTACATGAAAAGCTTAAATCGACAAACAAACGTGAATTCTGGAAAAGCATTGGAAAACTTGGCATTGCAAACGAAAGGAAAAATCAAATCCCGTGGGAAGTAGTTGACTCGGATGGAAACATTAACACTGGTGAAAAAATTGTGCTGAATAAATGGAAGTCAGATTTTGAGACCTTATTTTCTAATAATTTAAACGTGACTACACCTGAGTATTCTGCGGAAAATGACCAAATGGACCTATCAAATTTAAACTGTGCTTTTACTCGGGAAGAAATCGTTATTGCTGTAGAGCAAGCTAAAAATCGGAAAGCGGCGGGATACGATGAAATACCGGCGGAAGTGCTCAAAAATGAAATCGCAATTGAACTGTTATATGTTATCTGTAACGGCTGCTTTGAACTGGGTAAAGTACCTGAGCAATGGACCCAAGGGATAGTAAACCCAATACTCAAACCAGGAACACAAGACAACCGACTACCATCAAATTACCGGGGAATTACGCTTGTGTCCGTACCCAGTAAGATATATTGTAGTGTACTAAATAATCGCCTGAACGCTTTTTTTGAGGAAAACAATATCCTTTGTGAGGAGCAGAATGGATTCCACAGCAAACGTAGTTGTGAAGAGCATATTAAGAGTTTATTTAGCGTTATTTCAAACAGGAAAATTTCAAAACATTCAACTTTTGTTAGTTTTATTGATATGCGGAAAGCTTTTGACTCTGTACCAAGAAATTTATTGTGGTATAAACTTCAAAAAGTTGGAATAAGTGGTAAATTTCTGTCTGCTCTACAGTCCTTATATGAAAATGTTAGATGTACAGTCCGTGTCAATGACAGACATACACCATGGTTTAATGTGGACTGCGGAGTTAAGCAAGGCTGTTTATTGTCTCCCACATTATTTGCCGCCTACATCAACGACCTTGCTGAACGTATCAATAATCTACATTGTGGTGTTCGCATCAATGATACTATTCTGAGTATACTTTTATATGCAGATGACATTGCATTG